CTCAAACCCAGCTCAGAGGGAATGGTCATAGTCTAGGAAAATGGAACTTAATCTTAACCAGTCAGAAACTGCCAACTAACCTCTAACTAGGGACTTTAAGGCTACTTTAGCCAATCAAATATTTTCTTTGTCTTGCTTCCGAGAACACCTGATAAAACTTTTTCCCTTATTCCCCTTCAGTGGAGCCCAACCTGGTTGTGCTTTGGCACTGTCAATTCATGAATCACTGTCTGCTCAAATAAACTCTTTAAAATGTTAATGTGCTTAAGTTTATCTTTTAACAGCTGACAGCCTCCTAGGAGGAGGTGTGGTTCCACAAGCTGTGCTCAGTGGAGGCAAAGGTATGTAGCTAAGCCTGTCAGACTCACTTGCTCTGGAATTTTCCCCAGAGAACTCAGTGACTAACCAGTCAGTTGCAAGAGAATAATGAAGTAGACCTACAGAAAAAAAGCTAAGATTCCATGAGAAAAAGATCATGCTGGCCATGATAGACAGAGAAAAGAAAAATCTAGGGATACCTGGAATCTTGACAAATTTTCTAGTCCTAGATTCATTACAAAAATTGTTCTAATCACCACTTTCCCCACTCCTAAAGAAGCGCAAGTAGGTTTCTGTTTACTGACAAGCAAAGGAGAACACCTAGCACCCTTTCTATCCTTCATCATCCCCTACAACGTCCTTGCCCAGTGGTCATGCTCAGGTTTAAATACCTCTAGCAACAATTTACCACTCATTTTATCCCGGGACAACTCTAAGTAATTAGGTTATAAAGCCATTAGTAATACTGAGTGAGCCTCTCAACCTCTGAATCTTCATTCTCTGGCTAGTTAAAGCACTGTGAGACTCAGTATCCTCTCATTATTCTGATCCCTCTCAGTTGTAAATGTCCCAGTTTATCTGTAACTTTCCTCAAATTGTGGTTTCCAGAGCTGAAAACAATAATCCATGTGTGGTGTGACCAATACAGATGGTCTGGATTATCATTATTCTTGTTCTGTGTAATTATTACAAGTACTTTACCTGACTGTGTTAGACTTTTTTCTCAGCCCCATTAAATTGTTGCATTATTTGAACGTCTTGTTAATTAAAAACAGTATTACAAATGAGTTGGAGATAACCCACACGTTCTTACCTTGCACCCATACAGTTGGTTGTTCAGATTCAAGATCAGGATGCTATATTTGTAAGTTAAATTTCATTTTTGCTAGACTAAATTTTATGTTTCCAGCCTTCCATCAAGTACCACTGACCACCCACACCTCACCCTCGTATAATTATCACTTCCTCTAAATTGCTCCAATAAATATATCTATTTCACTCATTTGGTACATCTCTTATACTACCTAATCAAGTTAGTCATCTTGTGATGAAGGTTGGTTCCAAACTATAGAGCGTACATACCTTGTTTTCAGAACCTATAGAATGCCACACACACAATATTTATTGGTAATTAGTAATGATCAAAAGTGGGAAACGTAGACATATTCAATAGATCCTACATTGTTTTTCTAATCCGAGCATGTGAGCTTTCAGATATGTTACTGGGGCAATGTCAGCACTGAGGCTGATTTGTGGAACCTAGTACATCCTTTCCCCTCCTTATAGAGGATGAGTAGGTAATCCTTTTGAAATGTGAGTGGATAATGTGCAACCTCAGTTGCTAGTCTTTTGGGTGTCCTTAGCATCTTTTTAATACATTTCTACTAAACACTTCTAAGACAGACAGTGTCTGTCACAGGCAGTTGAGAAGGGCCATTTGGTTTGAGCTTTCAATGTTTGAAAAGCTTCAGATTTATGATGTTATACCTATGAAACCACCTTTGCAAAAACTGTATCAGTAAGAAAATACTGGCAGTGGGGGAGATCCGATCTAGCCACCCAGTTTTGCCTTTACCCTTCAAGCTGTCCTTAATTATTCCTGGACTTGGGTGAAGCTAACTTTGGGAAACATTTAGTTTACAGTTTAAGTGATAGTAGTCCTTCCCATAAACTCAACTGCCTTTGTAAAGCAAAGGAAAGACCACCAGACTAAGAGAACAGAGGAGCCTGAATTCTGCTAAGGTGCACACATAAAGGACTGCAAGCCATTATTCTGGAGATTACAAAATATGCAACTTCCCCAATTACTCCTGCAGATAGCACCACTATTTTAGAACCTATGATTGGCCTTTTGAGATATCTTTTAAGGGTTTTTTCATGTTTCATAACCAAAGGCCCCACCTAAACCCACCAAACACTAGCTTCTGTGGCCCCACCCAGAAGCAAGTCAAGTGCACAGGAAGACCATTTCCACACCCCTATGATTGCACCCCAGCCAATCAGCAGCAAGCACCCATTGCCTCACGACCCCCACCCTTTCCCCAAAACTACCTTTGAAAAACTCCAGCCATAAAATTCTTGAAGAGATTGATTTGAATAATAACTCCATCTCCCACATAGCAATGGCTGGCCTCATGTCAATTAAACTCTTTCTTTGCTGAAATGCCATGGTCTCTGTGAATTGATTTTGTTTGTATAGCAGGCAGGAAGAACCCACTGGGCAGTTACACCTAGGGCAGCATAGATACACTAAAATTAAAACATGTCACTCTTAATCTTAAACTTATGACACATTATAACACCACCCCATTTTAAGCATTATAAATAAATATATTTTAACACATCCTTTCATTATTGTATGAATAACAGTAATATTACACTACGTTTGGGTTTAAAAACAAAGTGTTAATTTGTCAAATGGTTAGAAATGTATCACAATTTTGTGTCACTCTTTTCTAAAATGTATTTTTCAAAATATTCTGCTTGCATTAGTAAATGGAGATGAGCCAGGCTTTTCTCAGTCTCTTAGAAGCCCTAGAGGCAAATGAACATCATAATTTCATTACTTAAATATTCTCCTGATGGTCCTTATTGCTGTCCACATGAAATTTACTGACACTTAACAACAAGGCTTTTTAGTTGCTAATTCCTGTTTGGATTGTTTCTTCCATTTGGAACATTTTTAATGAGTAGCAGTGACTGTGTGAATCACTATGCTAGGTTCAGTGGGAAAAAAAATCTTCATCAACAGCAACATAAATGTGATCCTTTCCCACAATAAGCTTACCATTCCCACAGATATGACCATACTTAGCTACAGCATGCAATAAAGGATTGAGTGCTGTATTTTAGAAGTAAACAAAATTACCCAAGATCAGAAAGAAAGAGACTTAAGTCAGATTCAGAGATTTGGGGAAAGTTTGCCAACCTCATATTTCTACACTATGGGCAATATTGGCTCTGGCCACAGTCTTTTTGGTCCCTTTGCTCCCACTTCCTGATTTTAGCACCACTGCCCTTCTTTGTGGCGAAGAGTATTTCCAGCAAACATCATGTATAAGGCACTGCTGTAGCTGGGAGAGGATACACAGTCACAGTCATCCCTAATACTTCTACTGCCAAGGTTCCACCCCACTCTGTGCCCCAGGTTGCATGTTCTTTAGTTGTCACTGTCAAGTGTACTATCTTGCCAGAATCTGGTCTTCCCGGCCAACCTATCCAAAGGGTATACAATATCCTTTCTCCAGGCCAAATTGAACTGATACAGGGATGACATAATGCAAATGGAACTTCAATAAAACAAAAGAAGAAAAAAGATCAAAATCGGTAAATGAGCTCTTACTTATTCTAGTGTAACCTTCATAGATCACATTGATTAAAAGATACTAAATGATACCCAGCCCCCAATTTTGGTTCTTCTACCTTGTCACTTTGGGTGTGTTTTGGGCATATTTATTAGTGAGTGATAAAAGCTGATACTATTTGAAGATAATCACAGTTTGCTTACCTACTGTCTTGTATCATGTTATTCATATTATAGCTGGCATGAAGATGTTACAGAAAAGCAGTACCAATCCAGACCCCAAGAGTTATTGGATCTTGTGCAAGAAAGAATTCAGGGTGAGCCCACAGAGTAAAGAGAAAGCAAGTTGATTAAGAAAGTAAAGGAGTAAAAGAATGGCTACTCCTTAGAGCAGCCCTGAGGGCTGCTAATTGCCCATTTTTATGGTTATTTTTTGATGATATGCTAAACAATGTGTGGATTATTCATGCCTCCCCTTTTTAGACCATATAGGGTAACTTCCCAATGTTGCCATGGTATCTGTAAACTGTCAGGGCGCTGGTGGGAGTGTAGCAGTGAGGACAACCAGAGGTCACTCTCATGGCCATCTTGGTTTTAGTGGGTTTTGGCTGGCTTCTTTAATGCAACCTGTTTTATCAGTGAGGTCGTTATGATCTGTATCTTGTGCCAACCTCCTATTTCATCCTGTGACTTAGAATGCCTTTACTCTCTGGGAATGCAGCCCAGTAGGTCTCAGCCTCATTTTGCTCAGCCCCTATTAAAGATGGAGTTACTCTGGTTCAAACGCCTCTGACAAAATGACTAAGCTGTAACAGTCACCTCCTCCAGCTTCTGGAGCCAGGAAATGGTACATGATCTCACAAAGAAAATATTCTGAGCTGAAAAAAAGAAGGATCAAATTTCAGTTTGGATTTCCAGTAGAAATACTTTTTTCCACACAGACTTTAAAATTATATTCTCTATCACATATGCAGAGAATACAGGCAGTAAAGTGAAAGATGCTGAGAGTACACTCAAGTCAGTCAGAGCTTCAGTTTTGCTGGGTCAGTCCTCAAGTTAATGATCGAAGACTAAGAATTCTCTGTAGGTCCCAAAGTAAACCTTTGACGGTTAAGGTTATATGGATGAGACACTTAAGGATATATGGATGAGACCAACAACAGAGGATACAGAGAAGGATCCATACCACATTGGAGAGAGAGAGTATTATTCTACATATGTTATCCAAGGTTTCTTAGCAGTTCATTAATGAGACTAAACTAAAAAAAACCAGAATCCAATGATTTATAGCTTATTATATTTGCATGTAATTGTAAACCATATATACTTACCAATACAACATTTAATGAAGCACAAGGAACTCTCCTATTACTTCCATAAGAAATTCAGCTAAAGAACTTCTTTAGGTCCTGTTCTAGAGAAACATCTAGACGGAATGAAACCTTTTTGACTATTAGATCAGTCTTGGTACCCAGCGGAGGTGTATTAATCCAGGTCAGATTTGTCCGTAAATGACAGAATGCCCCAAGTAACAGCTATTTAGGCAAAACTGAAGTTTACTGCTTTCTCATATCACCATGAACACCCAGATCTGGAATATCTACCAGGGACCCAGACTCCCTCTGTCGTATTACTCAGGCATCTTCGACATGAAGTTTCCAACAGGTGGTTGCTTCAGAGAAAAACTCCAGCTTCAGCCATCTTCATTCATTCTGGCCAGTGAGAAGGAGCAAAAGAAAGGTAAGGCATTATTTTCCTTCTCATTAAGGACTTACAGTCCACCTGCATCTTCTTGGTCAAACTTAGCTGTATGACCACAACCAGTTACAAGTAAGGATGTACATTTCAGTTCTCTTTCCAGGTAGCCACAGTCAAGACCAAAATCAGACTCTCTCTCAGGGTGGAGGAAGGAAAAATAAATGTTTAAAGCCAAATAGCAGTTTCTCTTGCAGTGACCAAAATTCCCTCTATCTTATATGACTTTGGCCTAACAAAGTGTTTTTCTGTTTGGATATATCAGCAGAAAACATCAATGAGAGCTTATTATGGGCCAAGCAAATAACTAAATACTTTAAAAATAGTATTATGGATTAAATTGTGTCTCCCTGAAAAGGTATGTTGAAGTCCTAACCCCTACTACCTCAGAATGTGACCTTCTATGGAAACAGAGGTAGGTGCAGGTGTAGTCAAGTTAAGGTGAGGCCATTAGGGTAGGCCCTAATATGATAGGTATCCTAATTTAAAAAATGGAGAGGATAATTTGAACTCAGATGCAGACAAGACATGCACAGAGGGAACAGTGTGCAGAGACACAGGGAAAATGCCATGTGAAGATGGAGGATTGTAGTGTTGCATCTGCAAGCCAACCACAAGAAGCTTGCAAGGATTCTCCCCTGTAGGTTTCAGAGGGAGCATGGCTCTGCTGATGCCTTGATTCGGGACTCCTAGCCTTCAGAACTGTGAGACAATAAATTTCAGTTGTTTTAAGTCACCCAGTTTATGATACTTTATTACAGCAGCTTTAGGAAACTAACAGAAGTCTAGGTCATCTCCAAAATTACTAGGTAGAAGAAATAAGTTCTACTGTTCTATCATGCTGTGGGGTGGCTATAGGTAACAATTTATTATCTATGTTCAAAAAGATAGAAGGGAGGATTTTGAATGCTCATAACACAAATAAATGATAAATGAGGTGATGGATATCCTAATTATCCTGATGTGATCATTAAACATTGTATACATGTATCAAATATCACTCTGCCCCTCATAAATATGTACAATTATTATGAATAATTTAAAAAATAGGTTATCTCATTTAATTCCCACAACTACTGCTTTGAGAGAGGTGCTCTTAGTTTTCCCTTTTTACAAATAAGTACATTAAGGCTCAAAGAATACAGCAACTTGCCGAGATCTCTTGAACTTTGATTCAGACCCAGTTTTTTTTCTGATTCCAGAGCCTGAGCTCCCAATACACTATAGTAACTAGATAACCCAAAGCACATGTCTTTAAAATCTGCATCCTTTCTCAACTTGAATACCACAAGAGATAAATGTGAAGTGTTAAGTACATATTAGGTGAGATTAGTACTCCATAGTTCCCACATCCTACCCCATAGGTCCCCCCATCCTACCCCATAGGTAGCATGATATTGTAACCTATCATCCAAACAGGGACACTTCTGAGAACGACAAAGATGCTTGATATAGTCTGGATGTATGTCCCCACCCAAATTTCATATTGAAATGTAATCCCCGTGTTGCAGGTGGTGCCTGGTGGGAGGTGATTGGATCATGGGGGCAGATATCTCATGAATGGTTTAGCACCATTCCCCATGGTACTGTCCTAGCCACAGTGAGTTCTCTTGAGGTCTGGTTGTTTAAAAGTGTATAGCAATTCTCTAGCTCTCTTGCTCCTGCTTTGCCTTCTGCCATGACCTTAAGCTTCCAGAGTCCTCCCCAGAAGCAGATACCAGTGTTATGCTTCCTGTACCTCCTGCAGAACCATGAGCCAATTAACCTCTTTTCTTTATAAATTACCCAGTCTCAGGTATTTCTTTATAGCAATGCAAGAATGGATTAATACAATGCTACTTATGATTACATTGGTACAGGAAGCCTAAATGAAAACTATCTTGGGCAAACCAGGGCTTACTCACACAGTAATACTTACCTTATTGCTCAGTGCCCCATCCACACTGACTCCTAACCAGAAATGTCACTGTAGCAGACTTGCAGAATTCTAATAATTACAGTTAGAAAACATGAAAATACCTTAATTAAGCAATAATAATAATAATATGGTACCACACAAATAAGGCATTTTTCATGAGTAATATATAGAACACATAAATTACAAAAATGATGTTTAAGGTGATTAATCCTAAAAAAGATATATTTTGATTATTTAGCTGAACATATTGGAGAAGACTTTCCGACAAAGATTGAGAACTCCTACCTGTGGAAAATTTAAAAAGACAGAAGGTAAGGTCTATCTTGTTTGAAACGCTACATATTGGTGCTCTGTTTGTTACAGCAATGAAGCCAATAACCCAATACTGTAAGAATGTCAAGCATCCGGTTTTTCACAGAAGAACAAAAGCACTCCTCTTACAGACTCATTTCTAGGGTTGAGGAAAAAGTCACTCTTTCCTAGAGATATGGATTGAAAGTTATTGTCTCTAGTCTCATCCAAATTTGGACTTTAATAATATCAGAAAGGAGTCAGATTAGACATCAGGAAGAGCTTTCTAAACTCGAATGTCTGCCAAGCTAGAGCCTTCTTTTATTATTTCTAAGAGAGCTAGGTACCCTTGGAAGTCACTTCGCCTGAACTGTAACCAAATAATAATGAAACATAATAATTCTACAAAGGCTTAGTATATGATCTACATAATTGTATAATTTGATAAAAAGCTCAAATTAGGACTCTCTATATTTGTGAAAGTCCAGTTCCCACAGCCTCTGTCTGGGGCTAAGACAGACTCAATAAAACTATTTTTGTGCATGTGAATATGCACTTCAACAAACTAAATACTGTATAATCTGACTAAACTGTAGGGTTCTAAAATGTTAACTCTGCTTACCTCTGCATGGGAGGATTGCCAGTGATTTTATGTGTCTGTCTCTTTCTTTGTTGAGTTTTCTCATTGAGAATATAATATTTTGAAATTATATTAAATATTTATGAAATTAAGAAAAAGTTCTTTTAAAAAGATCATCAAAAATATGTATAGAATGAGCCTATATCAGTTATCTATTGGTGTATAACAAACAATGCCAAAACCTAGTGGCCTAAAAAAACAAATTATCTCACATTTTTGTTGGCCCCGTCTTTGGAAGCAGTTTGGTTAAGGGGTCCTTGCTAGGATCTTTTTTGTTTTGAGACAGAGTCTCACTCTGTCACCCAGGGTGGAGTACAGTGGCACGATCTCGGCTCACTGCAACCTCTGCCTCTGGGTTCAGGTGATGCTCCTGTCTCAGCCTCCCAAGTAGCTGGGACTACAGGCATATGCCACCACACCCAGCTAATTTTTGTATTTTCAGTAGAGATGGGTATCACCATGTTGGCCAGGCTAATCTTGAACTCCTGACCTCAGGTGACCCGCCCGCCTCAGCCTCTCGAAGTGCTGGGATTATAGGCATAAGCCACCACACCTGGCTATTGCTAAGGTCTTTTATAAGGTTGCAGTTAGGATGCTGGCAGGGGCTGCAGTCATATGAAAACTTGATTGGGGCTGGAGGATCCCCTTTCAGTATATCTCACTCGCTTGGTATTGGCAAGAGGCTTTACTTCCTCACCATGTGAGCCTCGCTCCATAGGTGGTTTGAATTTCCCCATGACATAGCTGTTGGTTTCTCCCGGAGTGGTCTGAATGAGAACAAGGCAGAATTCACAATGACTTTCATGACTTAGTAACAGAATGTACACACATCACTTCTGTCATATGCTATTCATTAGAAGCAAGTCAGTAAGTCATACCTGCACTCAAAGGAAAGGGAATTAAGCTCCACTTCTTGAAGAGAGGATGTCAGAGAATTTGTGGATATATTTTAAGACCACCACGGAGCCTATCATCTACAAAAAGAAAAAAAGAACAACACATACATACAGAGACACATATAATATTACGCTGGTGCAAAATATTAGGTTTTGCCATTACTGTAATGGCAAAAACTGCAATTACTTTTGTACCAACCTGATATATTGAAAAAAATCTTTAAAATAAAGTTATCACTGGGAGTGTAAATAACTGAACATTTAAAATTTATCCTTTTTATTTTATTTTCTACTTTTTAAAGAACAAAGATTTTTCTTTTGTAACTAAACAGAAAGGAAAGGTTTTGACAGAGATTTGTGGTCAATGTAGTGGTGAAAATAATTGTATTAATCAATAGATCAACTTGGTCAGATTTGATATCTTTAGAATATTTATTTTTTCTGATTCATGAATAAGGTATATTTCTCAATTTATTTAGGCCTTCTGTAATGTATCTTGATTGTTATCTTTTTTTTAAAGAGACTGTGTACATTTTTCTCTTTGGTTGGATTTATTTCTTAGTATTAGATATTCTCTCACACTATTATATACTTTTCAATTACAATATCTAGTTGTTGCTGTAGAGAAATTAATACATTTTTAGTCTAATCTTATGCTAATAAGCTCTCTAAATTCTCTATTTCTAATTTTTTTCTCTTAGATTATTTTGGATTTTTCTATACAAACAATTTTATCATCTAAAAATGATGACAGTTTTATTTTTAGCTTGCCAATTCTCATACCTCTGATTTCTCTTTTATTTCTTATTACTTTAGACTAGGAACTCCAATATCAAGTTAAATAAGAGTCACAATCATTTATTTTTTTCACTTCTGATTAAATGGGAATGCTTCCAAAATTTCCTCGTAATGAAAATATTTTGCTATAGTTTGTCACTATCAGGAAGTTGTATTATATTTTTGATTTACAAAGTTTTTTTAAATCAAGAATTCAACATTATCAAGTATTTTTCCTGAATATAGTGAAATAATAACGTGGTTTTTTCTTACCTGTTAATGTTGGAAATTATATTTATGAACTTTTTTGTTAATTAAGCCATCCTTTCATAGTTGGGCTATATTCAACTTTTTAATGATATTGTTAACTTTTTGTGAACAGATAGGTTCAACTTGCTAATAGTTTGCTTGGAATTTCTGCATCTATTTTTTTGAGTAAAATAGCGTTATAATTTTTGCTTCTCAATGCACTTGTATCAGGATTAAGATTACTAATATTAAAACTGTAACTTCACAGAATTAGAAAAAAATTTAAAAGAGAGAAGCTGGGAAAAGATACGTATAAAACATATAAATGACAGAGGGTTGCCACCCCAAATATATAAATTATGCTTACAAATCAATAGAAAAAATTTACAACCAAAACCAAATGGGAAAAAAAAAAAAAAAAAAAAAGAAAAGAAAAGAAATTCACAAAAAGAACAATGGAAATATTTAACTAGTATGTAAAATATCTTCCATCTCAATGTAAATTAGGATAATACAAATTTATACAATAATTATACATCACTTAAAAATCCGGCAGAACAATGAAACTTAAAAAATAGATTAAGTAAATCCTGGTGTTGCAGACAATGTAGAAAAACAAGAATTTCACCTCTGTTGGTAGAAGTGAAATTCATGTTTTCAATTTGCAAAGCAATTTAAAAATATTTAATGAAGGCCAGGCACAGTGGCTCACACCTGTAATCTCAACACTTTGGGAGGCTGAGGAGGGTGGATCACCTGAGATCAGGAGTTCAAGACCAGCCTGGCCAACATGGTGAAACCCCATCTCTACTAAAAATACAAAAACTTAGCGGAGTCTGGTGTGGGCACCTGTATTCCCAGCTACTCTTCAGGCTGAGGCAAGATAATCACTTGAACCCGGGAGGCGGAGGTTGCAGTGACCAGAGGTCACACCATTGCTCTCCAGCCTGGGCAACAAAACTGAAACTCCGTCTGAAAAAGAAAAAAAAAAACTAACGAAGATGAAAGTGCGCATGACCTACTATATAACACTTCTACATCTAGAGAAACTGTCACTTTTATGCTCCGTAAGAGTGTAAAATGAGAAACAACTTTACTATCTTTCAGTAGGGGGAAGGCTGACTTAACTGTTAGATAAAATGAAAAAAAAAAAGCGTATCTGCATATATCTACATCATAGATGCTGAAAATAAAAATGCCAGTGGAAAAATAACATGTACAATATGGTACCATCTTCGTAAATGTTGAAAACACAAAAGCCAATGTTATATATTGTTTATGGCTATAAATGAACAGATTAAAATACAAAGCATGAATAGCAAAGATAACACTAACTTGATGAACCGATGACTCCAGGGCTGAAGGTCTAGGGAAAGGAATGGAGAAGGTCAAGGGGGTTCCTATTGTGACATTATGTTTACTTTTACAATTTGAAGAAAATATGACAGCATGTTAACATTTGTTAATTTGATGGCAGAGTGTATATAAAGTTTATAAGTCTTTTGTTTTCCCACGGTTTTAATTTTTTTTCATAATTATAAGTAAATATGTATGAAACAGAACCTCTTTAATTAGGTACAGTTGACCTCCACATCCCCAGTTCTGCATCCATGCCTTAAACCAATCCCAGATCAAAAATGTAGTTAGGGCTAGGATGGATGTGTCTATACTGAACACATAGGGACTTTTTTTCTTATTTCCTAGACAATACAGGATAACAACTAGTTAAATGGCATTTACATTGTATTAGGTGTTATAAATAATCTAGAGATGATTTAAAGTATGCTGGAGAATGTGCCTGGGTTACATGTAAATACTATGCCGTTTAGTATCAAGGACCTGAGCATTCCCGGATTTTCGTATCTGCAGGGGTCCCAGAACCAATCCCCTGTGGATATCAAGGGAAGGCAGAATTTGGTAAGTATGATGGCATATCACCGCTCTTACTGACCCTGAAACTGTTGTCTTAGGCATTCTGTCTCTGATATTGAATACTCTCTGGACTTGTTGCTTCATCTGTAATGTATAGGTGGTCACTGAAGATTCCTTCTAGCTCAGACACTGTAGGTGCCATCCCTTTTCCAAACCCTTGTACTCCTCTTTCCCTCTTCAAGGTTCATTACCTGAATCCATTAACAGTCCACCTTCATTTTCTCTATGGCTCCTTTTTCTAAAAAGTTACCAGAAAGCGTTTGACCAACGCATGCTCAGTAGTCAAGTTTGCTAAAACCCAAGGAAAGCTTTTTGTTTTGCTATTCATTTTCTTATGAGTCTTTCCATTTCCATTTACAATAAAAGTCCCAAATTTTCACCCGTCGTCTCTGCCATTGAAAAGGTGTAGCGAGGAGGAGATGCTAATAGGGAAGATGTCCCATGGGCCCAAGGGTGCTTCTGCGCTCTTACCTGGGTTTCGGACCCAGCAAAGGCGCAGCTAATTTAGGAACGAGCTGCAACCAGGCGGTCATAACTCTGTGCAATCTAGGCAGGGCAGCGTGGGTGGAACAAGTTGTCCTCTGCAGCTTCGGGGAAGAGTAGCTCTCCCTGTTCTCTGAGGAAGGCGGGGGTGTGGAGGCGGGAGGCGGGGAGACAGGGCAGCCCGGATCAGAAACATCCTGCAGCATCTCCGCATCCGGAGGAAAACTACATTTGGGCGAACTCCGGTGGAAAAGCGCCCCAAGCTGTCACAGCCTAGAGATCTTGGGGCTGCAGCCCTCGCGGCCTGCCGACGGGGCAGAGGGCGCCGGTGGAACTGGCTCCTTGCAGCTCTGCGGCGGCGCGCGGACCTCGGCTGTGTGCGAGGTGGCGGGGGAGACTGGCGGGATGCGAGCCGGAACTCGGTCCCAGCATCTTCTACCTCCTCAGGACAACCGCGCAGCCATGGGCTACCAGAGGCAGGACCCTGTCATCCCACCGCAGGTAAAACTAGCGACTGGGCGTTCTGAAGCCAGTTTTCCGGAAATTTCATTCACCTTGCAACAGGTCAGGTCACCTACCTTCACCCGGGCTCTTGGTTTAGCACCGCGAAAAGTTCTCTGGGAGAAAAAGTTTTGCCTTAATCTGACTTTGTTTTTTTTTCCTTAGCAGGCAATTTAATTTCACACAATCACATCACCAAATTCCTAACAGATCCTGTACTTAGCAGCTGGGGCAGCTGTAATCTGGAAATTTTAGGATGGAGTTAGCTTACCAAGCTCTGTTGAATTACTAGCCATTATTGTTATTCTTTATTACTGTTATCCTGGCATTATTTTATTTTCATTAGTGACATTACTTATTATTACTAGAAATATCGTGCTAGTATCCTGCATTACATATTTGTTACTTTTCTAATTTTCTGAGCTAGTATTTACTTATAATTGCTATTTTATCTATTAAAATAGAGAGATCTAGATGACAGAGAAACCCTTGTTTCTGAACATGAATATAAAGAGAAAACCTGTCAGTCTGCTGCTCTTTTTAATGTTGTCAACTCGATTATAGGATCTGGTATAATAGGTAAGTGTATTTTGTTTTGGTTTAAATTTTAAGTTAAAGGGCAAAATTTAAGACTCGCTATGCTGCTAGTGTTCATTAATTATTTTTAAAGAAAAAAAGACTTAAATAAGAAAATTGGTAATTTTCTTCCATAAAAGCCTTCCTTTTTTTCTAGTGTAACTGTATGTGTGCGTGTCTTTTATGCTGAAGATGGGGCTGTAATTCACACTGCTTCCACAGTTAAGAGCATCTTCCACATGTAGTAGATTAAGGTGAAACTGCATATGGGCGGTGGTGAATCTTTTTTCTGTAGGCTGTGTGGTTGATTGTTAATGTTACCTAATGTATTTTTTTCCACTTACTGAAGGGTCCATCATTATTTGAATCATCTTTCTTTAACCTTATAGAAGTATAAAACTTCCAGATATTTGTAAATGTTAGAGGTGAAAAGTTTAATATGAAAACATACAAATCTTATGAAAAATTAAATTCATACATTCTTTACCTATCTATACAATGTTAAATTTTAAAGTACAAAATTATTACAATATATTAATTTTAAATATCATTTAGTCAACAATGCAAATTTGTTCATTGAAAATGCATATAATTTTCATAGCAAAGGAGCCATAAAATCAGAATTAAAAGAAATAAATACCTCAGATTTTCCCATTGTATTAGAAGCAAGGGAAATTGTCTGAAAAAAGTTAAAAGTGTATTGCATTATAGTAATAAAAGCAGCTATATTTTCAGTGGTTATTATTCTTTTTGGTACCTGAAAACATTCTATCTCAGAAAAGACAAGAAGAAAACAAAATCCTGCAAAATGCAATACTTTTTTGAGAATACAAGGTTTTATAAAGTTGTGACATTTTTGTCTCTGTCATCATCTTCTGAAAATTAAACATTTATCTGGATTGAGCTACTTTTCTTACTCTTGAGTTACTTTTACTTTTCACAAGTTAATATGGTTCCTGATTTTACATTTTTCTATGGATAGTCTTTTTTTTTTCTCCAAATGATACATAAAATGGCATTACCCAAGATAAAGTAGAAGGAAACAGGGACAAAGGCTTGTTTACAATTCTACCTCCATGTGCAATGAAGGTATGGGCAGCTGTACTTAGAAGAATTCTAGAGCTAATTCCTGATGTGAACATGCTAAGCTAAGCCATGTCAGCAATGCTAAACAGTACCACTGAATCCTGCTCAGCAGCTTGTTTTCTTTTCTTTAAGGGAAAACTTTTCAGAGAATAAAAATCTTGGCTGCAAATATTTTAACTGTGTTTGTTTTAGATATTTTATTGTCCATAATCTAAAGTTGCCCATTTTCCCCAAAATTACAAGAAATAATTAAACGTACCCTTATCAGCATTATAAAAAAGACTTTCGCCTTCTCATTTTTCTCTCATTTTTTTCCTACATAGTAGCCCCATTTTGACTCCAGAGTCTGTCTGTCTTAATATTCCATAACCCTTCTGTGCTCCTTATTATCCACTCTGCTTTCTTGGCTAGCAGGTAGGAAAGGATTTGAGGTAATGATTTTCCACATATTCCAGGGCTGTGTCACTCTTACCCTGAAGTAAACGTTATTTGTGTGAACTGGCATTTGTTTTTCATTTGCTGCTTTCTAATTCTTATCCCATCACCTCATAAACTTGTTCTCTTGACTTGTCCCTAAGCTAATAACATTTTATTCTGAAATAAGTATTAATGCCTAACATTTAATGTTAATACTGTCCTATGTGCAACTTACAAGTATGTCATATAAGTTTATAAATTGACTTTACCTATTATATGCAGAAATTGAAGGGGGGAGTTTCTGTATTTCTAGCTTTCTTGTTAATGTGAGGGGTGGGGCATTTTATGTTTTTTCAGGATTGCCTTATTCAATGAAGCAAGCTGGGTTTCCTTTGGGAATATTGCTTTTATTCTGGGTTTCATATGTAACAGGTAAAATACTATATAATTTCTTATATCTGCAACTTCAATTGTGCAATAACTACACACACACACACACGCTGCAACTGAATTTCCTAGTTAATTAGAAAGTGCATCAAAGAATCCTAAAGAATTTAAGCATTTATGCCTGAGGAGATTTACTTTTCCTACTAATCCTTTAAACAGATTAGAAAAAGTAGAAGAGCATTATATATTACCAAGCCTAAATCCTTTTCATGTGCCTTTTTCACTTTATGCAGAAAGTAGTAGATGGGGAAGTCATTTTAAAGCTTCATTAAGGCTAAGAGAGGACTGTGCTCTGAAAGTGCAGACAGCAGGACTTCGTGGGCAGGTGCATGTGAATGAACAACCTTATTCAGCTGTTGCTTGTAGAGGTAGAACTGAAGTTCTGGTGATCAACCAGCAGGGCTCATCAAGCCTCTCCACCTGGCTTATGCCTGCCCACACTCGCTGCCTGCTACTATCTTTAAATGCAGCAATAAGTTGCTTCTATATCACATCTTCTGTTCTGCTTCCGCTTCTTCATGTAAATAGTTCATTCACACCCACCTTTTGTCACTCTCCCATTTAAATGCAGGGTTTACAACTCATAATCATCTCCTCTTTTTGTTGTCCTTGTCCCCGCCCTGTCATCCCACCATCTCACCTTATGACAAACACAGCGTCTTTCCTCTGTCTTGGGATCACTGTGAAAGAGGTGGCAATGATCGAAAACAAGCACCACTCACAGGAGTTGCTGCTGTGGTGGATTAGATGCCCTTTTACCAGCTAGTGAGTGTTGCCCTGAGCCTCAAGGGGGTCTCCTTGCCTCCATGAGGGACCAATGTGCGGTACGGTTGGAGCTCCAGTGCTCCACCACCACAGTACTTGCTGAGCTCTTTCCCCTGCCCTGTCCTCTCATTCCCCTTCTTCTGGAGTACTTCATCCATAGACCCCTTGCCCGGGAATGTCTGTCTCAGCTCTGCTTCTAGAGATCCTGCCAAGATGCCATCCCTCGTAAAACCTCAGGCTTCCAAGACCTGCCCAACACTCAGCTATTTTTTCTCAGGCTGACAAAGAGACAGTAAAGCATGAAATCGTTTTCAAATTCAAAGCTAGACAGGCATTGAACTCCCTGCCTTCTTCCTACCCCCCACCCTCAAGACCTAAACTGCTTCTAGTTATTACAGCTCTTTATTTATAACGTAAGCACCTATAATTCTGTGCTTATTAAGAGTTGCTGGTGTTTAAAAATTGCAGTCTACTTATTGGGGCATTTATTACACTAAAAAAAAAAAATCTGATTCAAGGATTTGTCCCTGTCATTCTTAAATTTCCTGTTTCCCATCAGCACTGACAAATAATCAATTTCCACCATAATCACCATCATTTATTTAAATGCATTGTAAACATTTACACACATTGTAAACAGGTAGGCAGAAAAAATTTAAAAATATGCGGCATCCACGAGTTCAGGACTTGAAGAGAATGAACAGTATGCTAAAGCCAATCATATTATACATGAATAAATCATAATGTGAATAACTTTTTCAACTAATGCCATATATAAACCTATAACAATAACTGTGAGAAGTCCTTTGCAAATTCACATGTTGCAAATTTACTTATTAATGAAAATTACCAACTCATAAATTTACTTGCATGATCCAAATTCTTAAATAACTGATAAAGGATGACCACACAAAATTGAAAAAAATATATAGGCTGATTCATTTTTTTTTCTTAATTAGGCTTTTAAGAACAAAATCTACATGTAGGGTATAATGTTGAATTTTTCTTTAGATTGGAGCTATAATTTATCAGTGGTTTGCCTCTAGAATTATTATTTTGCCTTTTAAGGCCACTAATGAGGTATGTTCAGTAAAACAAGTTTTTCTAAGTTCTGTTTTCATGTTTGTGAAATGCTGGGGAACAAAAAGAATTATGAAAATTTACAACAAATAATTCTAGTTTGCTTTAAGATTTTCAAATTTGTTGATTAATGTAAAATAATTTTTATTGTCTGAGCATACAAAATGATTTAAAAGAAAATTCCTCTGTTAAGTAACATAGATTAATTCATGAAGTTTTTAAAAAGTTGCATATAATATATTTAAAGGGAGATCAAAATATTATAGTAATTAATACTTAAGATATCTAAAACTGTTAAGGGAATGTATTTGTAGCCTGTATTTTATAAGCAGATGAAAGCATTTACATTTATTATTGACTAAATTCTTAACACATTCTTACCTTTAAGTGATCATTTTGAACTTTTATTAAATGCTCAGCGTTCTCATCCCAACCATACCCTTCTTCAACAAGCCTTCATACCATCTTTGAAATTGGCTGCCTCCTCTCTGTGACATAAGTATATAAATTGTATATAGATTACATAAGAATCAATGAGAATCAAGGAGGAGAATCAATGCCAACTCTGTTGCCAGTAACTTCAGACCTTGGCTAAGCCATTGTAACCAACTGAAGTCTCAATTTTCTCCTCCAAAAAAGTAAAACGTGAACATCTACCTCAAAAAGATTTCACATTATGGCTGCATTATTCTCAGCATCTAGCTCATTGATTCTCCTTCTTGGCCAGTGAGCTGCTGCTCAGTTTTCCTGCCTCCAGCATCTGTCTACTTTCTGATCAGTCCTCCATACTGCTGCAGATTATTTTTATAAAACCTCAGGCTGAACTCTGTAAACTCCCCTAATCAAACCATTCTGAGACTCTGTAAGGACAACAACAACAACAACAACAAAATATTGCATGTAAATTCCTTCATAGTTTGGCCATAGTCTGCATTTTTAGTCTCATTCCAATTATTCTAACTGCCCTCTCACTCTGTGACCAACAGTCACATGCAGACATTCTCAGCCATTCCAGAGAATTCTGTTACCCAGGGAGAGAATAAGCTTTCACACCATCTTCCCATTGATAGTCCTCCTGCCTGACATTCCTTTACTTCTCTACCTGGTGAAACCTTGTTCTTCCTTCAAGGCATTATTCAACTTTTTTGTGAAGCAGTTTCTAATTTTAAGCAAAGGAAGTAGAATTTATTGATATGTCCTTTGTGTTTGCAGGATATTTTAAAATCTATTAATACTTCTTAGGGCTGGGCACGGTGGCTCACCCCTGTAATCCCAGCACTTTGAGAGGCCGAGGCACGTGGATCACTTGAGGTCAGAAATTCGAGACCAGCCTGGCCAATATGGTGAAACCCCGTCTCTACTAAAAATACAAAAATTAACTGGGCGTGGTGGCTCACATCTGTAGTCTCAGCTACTCAGGAAGCTGAGGCGGCTGAGGCAGGAGAATCGCTTGAACCCGGGAGGCAGAGGTTGCAGTGAGCTGAGATTGCGCCACTGCACTCCAGCCTGGGCAACAGAGTGAGACTCAGTCTCAAAAACAAAAATAAATAAATAAAAATGTATTTATTAGGTCATTTATCACATTAAATTGGAATCCGATGGGTAGACATATAGCAATCCTACTATATTGATCATTGATTCATTCAACAAATATATACTGATCACCGGTGTGCCAGATATAGCAATGAGAAACATTATCCCTGCCTTTTTGAAGCTCACAATATAGTCAAGCAGAAAAAAAAACAAAACAAAACATAATTATAGTACTTCATAAAAAATACTGTAATAAAAATATGTACGTGACAGAGACTGGCATTTAACCTAGCCTCAAAAGAGCAGGAATGTTCTAGGGAGGAGGAGACACTTCCTCTGCGTATTTATCAAAAAAAAAAAAAAAAAGTGAGTTAGCAGAGAAAATGGAAGCAGATGGAAAAGTGGGAATGCAAAATGCAACTGAACAAATGATTTAGTCTGGCCAAAGTGCAGGGTTGGTGTTTGCAAGTGGAGAGAGGGGAAGTTGGAGAGATTTGCAAAGGCAGATGGAAAGCCTTTCATGTAATGATAAGCATTACCACTTCCTGAGCTAGATGCTGAGCACAATGCAGCCATAATGTGAAATCTTTCTGAGGTAAGTGTTCACGTTTTATATAATGTGAAATCTTTCTGAGGTAGGTGTTCATGTTTTACTTTGTTGGAGGAGAAAATTGAGACTTCGATAGGTTAAAATGACTTAGCCAAGGTCTGAAGTTACTGGCAACAGAGTTGAGATTTTAATTAAGTGCATGGATTCTGAGGCCAGACTACTAGGGCCTAAGTCCTGATTCTTCTTTTACTACCTCTGTAGAGATCAATTTACTTAACCTTCATGCCCCACTTTTCTCATCTGTTAAATGGTCATGATAGTAGCACCTACCTCTGGTTGTTGTGAAGATTAATTAGTATTTGTAAAGTATTTGGAAAAAGACCTACCAAACAGAAAAGCATTGTGTAAGCATTTGCTAGTAGTTTATGGTTGTTATCATTATTATCTGACTCCAAATACAGTAACTTTTCCCACCGTCACATGCAGCTTGTCAAAAATAAGTAGAAATAGCGTAAGTTCCCACTCAGCTTCTAGAAGACAGTAGGCATTGTGGTGGCTATTTAAACACCATAATCCTCACACCACTCTTCAAGGGTGCCATATTGCCTTACTTTACAGATGAACTCAAATCTTTCATCCGAGGTCACACAGCTATAAATAATTTTTATCCAAAGGCATTAATGGGTCTCCCTGAAATATTTTAAGCAGAAGACACAATTAGTTTTATAGTAATCTATGGCCAGATCCACCTGGTGGAGGGAGAATGCTCAGAATGTCTTGGTAGGGAGGAAAAATCAAAGGTATCTTGGTTGGGGGCCAGATTGGTGGGTAAAAGAACTATTAGTGGATTATTTCAGTACTCCAGACAAGAAATTATGAAGTCCAAAGCGCTACCATAAGGCAAGTCAAGATTACAGATTAGGGGCTACATTTGAATATTTCTGATGCAATCGTTAATAGACTTAGTAACCACAGGAATATAGAACGTAATGAAATAAGTTAATGATTAATAAGATAAGTCTGGGGAAATTCTCAAGTTTCTGTTGATACTAATTACAGATTGGAGAAATATGGATAGAGAATCAAATTCCAGAACCAATAACCAAATTAGAATTTATATATTTTAAAAGTAAGATGTCTATGAGATCTTCAAGGCAAAATATTTATTAGGCAGCTAGCTGTAGAAGTCTGAAGTTTTGAAGGGGGGCTGACCTGGAAACACAAATTTAGAGGTTATTAACATCTGAATGAAAATTGCAACCACAGCATAAGTGAGATCACACTAGTACATCTTGAAGGGTTAGAAAAAAGGCCGGGCACAGTGACTTACACCTGTAATCCTAGCACTTTGGGAGGCCTAGGCGGGTGGATTACCTGAGGTCAGGAGTTTGAGACCAGCCTGGCCAACGTGGCAAAACTCCGTCTCTGCTAAAAATACAAAAATTAGCCAGGCATGGTGGTGGGCACCTGCAATCCCAGCTGGTCAGGAGGCTGAGGCAGGAGAATTGTTTGAACCCAGGAGGCGGAGGTTGCAGTGAGCCAGGATGGCGCCACTGCACTCCAGTCTGGGTGACAGAGCAAGACTCCATCTCAAAAAAATAAAAAAGTGAGAAAAAAAAAAGTCCAAGAATCCAGGGCTTGAGCAGAGTGAAAGAAACTGGTGAAAAATTGAGTATAAATGACCAAAAAAGTAGGAAGAAAACCACAAGAAAGAGATGTCACAGAGGCCAAAGAAGAATGGTTGAGAAAATAAGGAATGATCAACAACAACAAAAAACAGTGTTCCGAAAGAGCAAATAAGAGTGAGGTCTAGGAGGTATCAATTGGATTTATCAACTTGGAGATCACTGATGCTCTGGTTGAAAGAAGTTTCACTGACCTGGGAGGGAATCAAGGGGAAATCATATTATAATGACTTGCATTTTTATGCATTTCCACATTACTTAATGGATAAAAATGAGAAAGGGAAAAAAGAGAACAAGTATCTCACATTGTGTGTAGCTGTGTACCAAATACAACTGCAGTGTCTTTCTGTAAAAAACATTGAGTTAAATGAAAACAGTGAGGGAGACTGTCTTTTCATTATATAATTTCTGTATATATCTATCTTTAACTTCAATTGAAGTTTCTTAAAATGTAAATTTTTTTTTTTTTTTTTGAGACAGAGTCTCACTCTGTTGCCAGGCTGGAGTGAAGTGGCAGGATCTCAGCTCACTGCAGCTTTTGCCTCCTGGATTCGAGCGATTCTCCTGCCTCAGCCTCCCAAGTAGCTGGGACTACAAGTGTGCGCCACCACACCTGCCTAATTTTTGTATTTTAAGTAGAGACGGGGTTTCACCATGTTGGCTAGGATGGCCTCGATCTCCTGACCTCGAGATCCACCCACCTTGGCCTCCCAAAGTGCTGGGATTACAGGTGTGAGCCACTGTGCCAGCCACAAATGTAAATTTCAACAGCAAAATTTCATAGAGTGTCTCTTTCTTAACCATAATAACTATAAAATAAAGTTACTAATTTTATTATATCATAAAACAAATGCTCTGACTCTCCTAAATGTATTATTTTCTTAATGCTACCACACCTTTAATTCTCAGTCTTCACACATTGAATACCTATGAAATATTTGATTACCTACATACCTACAATTGAGCCTCAACCTGATGATATTTGCTGCATTGGTTACATCAGGAAAGTAAAATGGAACACTGGCAGTTTGACTTGAGTCTGTTTTCTTTTCTGCCCTATTCTTTGCATGGATATGTTAAGTATATATTTGCATCTTGATTGAAAAATATGTAACTGGAAACATTACTGTTTCATAAAAGGTAATGTTTTATGAAAAGAAAGCCTGGCTCTGCTAGTACTGTAACATTAAATTAAATGCTTCTTTAAAATTTCCCTTCTTCTCAATGGTAATTAAGTTAAAGCATGAAAAATATTTGTATTATGTGTAATCTGACATTTATTTAATTGATATTCTTGCCATAGACTTTTCCCTCATTTTATTGATAAAAGGAGGGGCCCTCTCCGGAACAGACACCTACCAGTCTTTGGTCAACAAAACCTTCGGCTTTCCAGGGTATATTCTCCTCTCTGTTCTTCAGTTTTTGTATCCTTTTATAGGTAAGTTGATTGTGAAGATAAATATTGCAATTATGTGCATAAGCATATGGTCATTTCTGAATAAAATACTTTTAATAGTCTTTAAAGAATATCATTATAGCAGTTGAAATCTTTTCCAAATTAAATATTTACTTCTTTAACCATTTTCTTCCTTACTTTCTGGTCCTTTTGATTTATTTTCTATTTCTTTTAAATAAAATGAGGGTTATTTTCACTGGGTTAATGTTTGGACTTTCTGTACTTGGTAAAAAATTGAATGATCTAGAACAAAGAGCGAATAAGAGAAATAACACATTTCTTATAAGGCTTAATACTTAAAAAAAAATGCTAAGGATTTGTGGAAGCCATGTACTAGGCCAATGTGCTATTTAAAGTTTATACCATAATGGTGAGAATGTCACCTAACACTTCTTTAAAAATGAAATGTTAATATTCGCCAATGGCCAAATGGACTTCATTTTTAAAAATCAGTACTATGGAAGGTATTGTTCAAACCACTAGTTCCATATGTCTCCACAGAAAGCTAAGAATATATTTCCCAAAAAAGTCTTTTTCAATGGAGGGGATATTTTAGTGCCTTCAAAGTTTTCTATTATTATTTCTCACTTTATGCAGTACATGTGTTCCTGAAAAGAGGTTTGGAAACTGAACTTTAACAACAAAATAAATTGCATTTTTAATAACTAGCAGAACTTGCTACTTAAAGGTATTCTGAGATGAATCAACCTGTAAAGAGAAAATCCTTTTTTAATACAAATTGATACTCTGCCATAGATCTGTTGTCCAGTTATCTTTAAAGTTGTCCAAATGGGTAATCATAATATACATTTGAAAGGAGTAGGGTACTGCCAATGTTTGGGAAGTAATAAGTGATTGCTTTCAAAATATTTAGGATGAAATATGTGATGGCTTATTGATGACTCTTATTTTAATTATGTTTTTAGCGATGATAAGTTACAATATAATAGCTGGAGATACTTTGAGCAAAGTTTTTCAAAGAATCCCAGGAGGTAAGTCAAAATAAAAATTGTGAGGATTTAAATATATTTATTTATATAGTTATTTATAGTTAACATGGTTCATAATAATTTATAAATAAAAAATTTGAAAGTGAAATTATTGGATTACTTCAGGTATCTCACAATTTCCGTGATCCATTTTGATTTTAAAGTTCTGATCTGCTTTTATACATAATTTAGTTCTTATTTAGCTGTTTGAAAAAATGTTTTTACTATTTATATACTTAGAATACTTTATCTTTTAAATTTTTTATGCTTCATATCACCAGCTCTCTGGGCTAATATTTTTTCATGTACTATTTAAACTATATGATTTCTTAAATAAGCAAGCAGACTATTTTACCCATTATTTGTATTAAGGTATAATTTAATAGAGTAAAATTAACCCTTTAAAATCTATATTCTGTGGCCAGGCATGGTGGCTCACGCCTATAATCCCAGCACTCTGGGAGGCAGAAGAGGGTGGATCGCTTGAGCTCAGGAGTTCAAGACCAGCCTGGGCAACATAGTGAAACCTCATCTGTACAAAAAGTACAAACATTAGCAGGACATGGTACCTGCACCTGTGGTTCCAGCTACTTCGGAGGCTGAGGTGGGAGGATCACTTGAGCCCAGGAGGTGGAGGCTGCAGAGAGCTGTGATCATGCCAATGCCCTGCAGGTTGGGCAACAGAGTGAGACCCTGTCTCAAACAAACAAACAAACAAACAAACAAAACCAAAAACCTATGTTCTGTGAGTTTTGACAAAGGCATATAGTCACATAACCACGTCTGCAATCAAAATACAGAACAACAAGCCAGGCACAGTAGCGTGCACCTGTAGTCCCAGCTACTCCAGACACTGAAGCAGAAGGATTGCTTGAGCCCAGGAGTGTGAGCCACATACAGAGTCTGTCTCTAAAAATAATAAAAATAATGCAGAACAATTCCATCACTCCCTCCAGTTTCCCCCATTTCTCTTTGTTGTCAAAGCCTAATCTCCAACTCCCCCTGCCAACCTCCTGATGAGATTTCTCTCCCTATAGTTTTGCTTTCTTCAGAATGCCAGGTAAATGACATCATACCATATGTAGCTTTTTTGAGTCTGGCTTCTTTTATTTAGAAAGGTGTATTTGAGATTCAGCTGTGTCTTTAGATATATCAGTAGTTTGCTCTTTTTAACAAATTATTTCTGAGAAGCATTTCATTTTATGGATGTACAATAGTGTATCTATCACCCAGTTGAGGGACATTTGTGTTGTTTCCAGTTTAGGGTAATTGCAAAAAAGCCAGTGTGAACATTCTCAAGTAGACCTTTTCAACATATTGCTACAACTCCACTCCCTGTTCAACTTTTCACTATGTCATAGTTTTTAGAATAATTCAGAGATCATGTGTCTTTTTGCTTTGAAGAGCTTCTCATCCAAGCTACATAATCCCTCTTTCATTGTGACACTCTCTCTAGTTGCTATTACAGTTGAGGAGATTGATGCAAAAACACCTTTCCTCTTAGTGCTTGAATCACTCATTTTAGAGACATACAAAACAAAACGAAACAAAATCTAGAGCCAGAAAGTACACCTATTCCTCACACATGGTTTAGTGGAACTTGAGATCATGGAGACATAGCTGTCAAATCACAGACTCACTAATGACCAGCTGTGTGACCTTGAGAAGGTTAGTTGTCCTCTCCGAGTTCCAGTTTCCTCATCTCTAAATTATGAATCAGAATATCATCTGCTTCATAGAATAGTTGTGTGAAGCAAAAGAGGTGAGACAGGTAGTTCCTAGCACACAGTAGACTTACCCAGTACTGTTAGTCATGATTTTTGTTACCCTGAACTGTCTGTAGCTTCTGTGCCAGCCCCCAAACTCCAAAGCATGAATGCATAAGCTGAGGCCACATAAGTGGGTAGAATGCTAAGGGAAAGTGGTCAGAATATAATACAAGACATACGATATAATCTAAATTATGTAAATTTTCTATTTGCATATACAAGTAAGAAAAAATAAGAAAGAAATACTTTTATGTATAAACTGTGGTTATCTTTTAATCATGAGATCCATGGGATTTTTGTGGCGGTTTTTCTGTGTTATTTTTCAAGGTTTTTCTTAAGGGTTTTTCTTTTCTTCTCTGTTTTTTGTTTTTGTTTCTGTTTTTGTTTTTTTTGAGACAGGGTCTTACTATGTCACCCAGGCTAGAGTGCAATGGCATAATTGGCTCACTATAGTCTTGACCTCCCGGGTTCAGGTGATCCTTCCACCTCAGCCTCCCAAGTAGCTGGGATTACAGGTGCACACCACCATGCCCGGTTTTCTAGAGATGGGGTTTTGCTATGTTGCCCAGGCTTGTCTTGAACTCCTGAGGTCAAACGATCTACCCACCTCAGCCTCCCAAAGTGTTGAGATTATAGGCATAAGCCATCTCACCTGACCTCTAAAGTTTTTCAAAAGAGAATTACTAATTTAAAAATGTATTTTATTACTGTATTTTCCTATTCAAAAAGTAGCACCGATTTATTGGAAAAATATTAGAAAACACAGACGAGCAAAATGGAGAAAATAGAAAAGACTAATAATCTCTTCCTCTTGGGACAACCAGGTGGTAACCATCCTTTCAACCCCCTCCTGTTTTTCCTCTTCCTTCCATCCTTCCTTTTATCTTTTAATGTATACTTTCAGAGTTTTAAGAATACATGTAATTTCAGATATTCGTAAGAATAATATAACATCATACATCTTGTTCTGTAACACGCTTCTTTCTCTTAGTAATATTTTAAGAACATATTCTCATATCAAAACATAAATATATAAATGCTTTAATGCAAGTTCAGTATTCTGTACAGTACCTACTGTACAGTTAGAGTGGCCATAATTAATTTACCTTCCTTTGATAGAAACATTTTGATTGTTAATTTTTATTGATTTTTAATTATACAAGCAATGTATGTATAACACTCTTCATAAAAACAAAACATTATAGAACAGGCTAATGGTCCCTTGAAGCCCTCTTCCAGGTTATCAATTTTGTAATAATCAAAAATGATTTTTAAAAATGTAGGTCATGTGGCAAGGAACACAATTTTATTCTTACAGCATCTTCACCCTTTTGGGGTGTGACAGTTTATAATGTTCACTCTGTTTGTATATCTTGTGAGGCATAATATTATGCCAAAGTATTTTTAGAAGCAGATACTATAAAATTCTTATCAAAGTTCTATTTTTATTCTGAAATATATCACTAATAAATTGGCAAGTAGGCAATTGCTTATACTTTTCTCTGGTAGCCAAAACCTTAGCTCTTGATATAAGTCAAAGTAACAAGAAATGTTGGCCAAAAAATAGTATGTTTACATGCTTTTAAATTTTTACAAAAATTTTATTTTCAAAAATTTCAATTTTCACCTTTCTTTACTGTTGTTTAAACATTTAAAATGCATACTTGGTTGCATTTTTGATAGGTCCGTTTAGGTAATAGATCTCATCATTAGATCATTAGTGAAAAACATCCTTTATGCAAATGAGATCCTCAGTTATTAGGCTCCTACCTGTTGATCACAGCAGTCTGTGTCAGCGTTTATCTAGCCCTTCACTTTGCCAGTGAAGCAAAAGGTGTAAAGAGTAAATAGAAATAGATACACAAATAATTTGGTTCAAATTATGTTCACCACAAATATGTAAATAGTGAGTTCAGGGATTTTGGAATTGATTTTCCTGTTTTGTTTCAATTCTTAATTTTATAATGACTAGTTATGGCTGAGTTCAAGTATTCCATTAATATTAATAATTAAATATTCCATTCCATATATATAATATATATGTACACACATACACATATATACACATCATATACATATATATACACTACACATATAGAAAATACTAATAATCTATTAACCATATATATAATACATATATGTGGTAAAAACCTATGTCATTTTGAAATTTCTTTCTTGAAACTTTCTTGTAAGTTTATTAGCCATCTAAGAAAATTAGTGTCATTGTTTAGGATAACAGCTTTTATTTTCTTACCACAGTCATTCACTTATTTAAGACTGGATCTCTGTAGACTTTAGACTATGCAGAAATTGATGCACAATGACTTGGTACCACTGAAGACATTGCAACAATATAATGACATGATCTCTGAGTGAAATTTAATATGAGCTCAAAATTTAAACAGTAGTGTCTTCATTGAAATAGATATATAGCTCCTTAAGTGACTATTTTAATTAGCACACCTTTAAAAATATATAAATCCTTGTATGTTTCATTTTAGATTTAAAACTTCTGTTTATATTTGATTATACAAACAACACATATAATTATATATGTTATATATGATATAATATATTATATATTAATTTATATGTTGTATATTAATATATAATGTATATTATATATCTATAATCACACAAATATAATTATATTATATTATATATATATGATTTTCGATATATATAATTTTCTATTTGTATTTGACCATAGCCAAGAATCTGCCACATCTACCAGTTACAGCAGCTTCCCTGTGACTTTTGCCCTATCCAGTATGTTGCTTCTGCCAATCAGGGAAACCACTTTTTTCTTGACAAAAGTATAGAAATATATTAAATATTTTTATCTAAATCTTTATTTTTGAAATTTTGTTAAAGTATTACTGTCCAAGTCTCTTGCGTACAGAAAAAAAAAAAAAAAAAAAAACCTTAGAAAATGCAGCATCCTCCTATAGCTTACTTTCTACCTGAAGGATTTCGTCATTAAAGGGTTTTGGGCAGGGAATGACATAATGTTTTTTACCTTAGAAAAGGAATTCTGTAGTTTCTGGGTTAAGAGTATACTGTAAGAAGACAAAGGAAGGCAGAAGCATGAAAACTGGTAAGGAGGCTAGTAAAATAATTTCAGTGTGAAATATTATAACATCATTTGAAGTATAAGTCATCCTGAAGTTTTTCTTGTATTTGTATTGTGATTTATTTTTATTTTTACATGGTTTTATGGAGAGTATTAACTCAAAATCATTGTCATTGAGGTAGTATTTATGTTTAAGTAATGTTTATAATTAAATGCTGGGCTATTTAGTGTGTCACCAATGTGTTACTTATACCTGTAATATTTAATATTTATTGTGTTTTAGTTGATCCTGAAAACGTGTTTATTGGTCGCCACTTCATTATTGGGCTTTCCACAGTTACCTTTACTCTGCCTTTATCCTTGTACCGAAATATAGCGAAGCTTGGAAAGGTAATTTTTACATTTTAAATTGTCATAGGAAAGTACCTTGTTGCCTGCAGTAATCTACTGTCTACTTGACAAAGTTCTTAATTACAATATTCATCTTTAGTTTCTTCTAGTTTATTTAATGGTTATGCTAGAGTAAACTGTTTGAATCATTAGTTTGTGAGAACCAGTGGTTAAATAGTTGATGAGTATGAACTAAATATATTCTTCCTTTTTCTTTTTTAAGGTAGATACCCTGATGTCAGACAACACATTTTAAATTTAGAAAATATAAATAACTATATTTAAAGCAAATCTAATTTATTGGAAAAGCGTTCCATCTTTTGTGTAGGTAGTTTAAACAATTTAAAATTAAGAAGCAACAATGAATCACTTCAATGGCTTAAAATATATTTATTTGTAAATTACAATGTCTATTGTGCTTATTTTTCATCCAGTGAATTTGATTTTCAATGTGTTGATTGGTCAATTTTTGAGAATTTTGCCAGTATTTATGATTCGTATTACTAAAGAGGAATACTGAACTCTTCTAATGAAAACAATTAAATAATTATTCAGTTCACTACAGATACTCATTTGCACTTACTCTCAAGGAATATTTGTATTTTACCCAAAATATTATTGGTACTATGTCTACATAATGCCAAACATTCTGACGATATTTTTTTAAAGAGTTATTTATATAATGTTTTTATATTCTATTTTGAAAAATCCAACATTTGACTGAATTTTACTTTTCACTGTGATGTTTGATGTTGTGTATCCAGTTATGAAGTTCATCCTTCCAGGTAGAGCTGAGGGTAGACATGATATTTCAGAGTATTCTGACCATCCCTAATAGCCATCCAGAAACAAACAAGTCTGTATCAAAACATGCCTTTTTGTGAATTATATAAAATGTTTGAACTATTTTCCGTTTCACATATTCAGTGTACACATAAATGTTAACTTCTGAGCAGAGAGCGAGGCGTTCATAAAAGGAAGGCTATTCACATTCTGTCATATTATTAATACCTGGGCATTTTTACCTAAATCCCCCTTAAAAGTGTCATATTGAGATAGCTAAATAAATCGCTCAATGAGCAAAGCAGAGTGGTTAGGAGCCCTAATCTGCAGTCAGGCTGCTTGTATCTGAGTTCCCTCTCTGCCACATTCCAGCTGTGTCACCTTGGGGATGTTGTTTAATCTCTCTCTCCCTCAGAAGATAAGCCAATTCCTAATAGAAACTTCTTTCTAGTTAAACATTAACAACTTAGAAAACAAGGTTAATGAGACTCACATAAAATACAAGCAGTTTTATATTTATTTTTTCTTATCAGAGAAAGGATCCATAATGTGCTTATTCATTTAAAAATATTAAGACTAGACACACAAACCTAGCATAATGAGTGCACAGGGCACAAACACACACAGACCAGTTTATATTTTAACCAGTTGACATAATGACAGAACAGAGAAGAAGAAGCAAAACAGGCCTAGAAACACAGACCAAAGGGCAAAACCATGTAGGAAAAGTAGAGCTGGAGAGCAGAGAGGAAAAAACTGAGGTACTCCTCCTCAAAAAAATAAATAAATAAAAATAAAAATAAATTAAAAAAGGAGGGGGAGGAATGTGTGTGATGTTGGAAGAAAGAGAGTAAGACAAGTAGAAGCAGCAATTATAGATAGTGAAAAAGCACATGTCAACACTAAAATAGAACTGAAAAAAAAAAGAAACATAATTTCACTTTTACTTTGATAAGCTAAAATCACCAGTTTTGTATTCCGTGCAGGAGCCACTAAAAATTTTCAAAGCCGTATTGCATGGTGATGACAGTCATATATAATACTTGCTCACCTACTTGGGGTGGGTGCGGGGACCAACACTATGATCTGATAAGAAGTTACCTGCCTGAGATTATCAACACCAAGCTTCAAGAATAACCTACTAAAGAATTAGGCAGAAAAATCTGTATGTAAGTTTACCCAATTAAAAACGAGAAAGACTTAACATTTAAAGTAAAATAATTTCTGTCCTAAACTGGCAATATCCTTGTATTTTCTTTGACAGGTCTCCCTCATCTCTACAGGTTTAACAACTCTGATTCTTGGAATTGTAATGGCGAGGGCAATTTCATTGGGTCCACACATGTAAGTTTTGTTGTTATATTTGTTAGTCTTTGGTTTATAGCCTTCACATAGATACTTAGAGGGCATAGATGCAGAAATATAAAGTAACCATGGTATCAGAAATATCATTTATCTTTGGTATTTGACAAAATGAGGTAAAATAATTACAGGTCGGTAAACATGCATTTTTCATTTGGACTCTACAAAGCTGGTAGAATTAAACCAGGTTTACTTATTATTTTAATGGCCGAAACAATTAGAATAAGAAATAATTAGAATTAGAATAAGAAAGGAATTTTGAATAGTTGAAAAGAGGAACAAAGTTTCACTAATTTAGACTGAAATAAGAAGAATAAGGGACATAGTGGATGTTTTTATCCACTAAACAAAATGAGAACACTTTGAAAACCACCCTTTATTCTCTTCTGATTATTTTCCTTAATTATTTTGTGTTAAAATACTCCATCATTTGTGAACTAAAGATAAAAACTGATAGTGGTATTTGTTTCTTTTTACTGTTATTATTTGGTCAGGTAAAATGTTGACAAATTGGTATTAGTTCCCCCAATTGTAAAAATGTTATTCATTCATGAAATTTAAAAGTGTGTGTATTGTCAATCTAAACTACACTGTGTGTATGCTTTGCTTATACAGTACATTCCCCAGATACGGACTGGGCAGTTCATAGTCACGGTCCCAAGAAAATGCTAGAATGAAACCAGCTTAGATAGGCTTTAAACACTGAATTTGGTTTCCACAATTCACAATAAATATTAGTTGAATAAATAAATAATACATTAAGGAGTTTCCAGGGTATCTTAAATGTTTTCTCTAAGCAAGACAAAGAAAAATTAATTTAAGATGTAATATTTAGCACAGTGCAAGGAATACTGGGTTTTTAATGAATGACATCTGTAAGAAAAAACATAAAAGGAAACCTAATGAATAGCCCTAATTGTTAATGCAGTGGCCAAGGTAATTTATGTTTTCTCATTGATTAATTGTTGCTCTGCAAAAATTAATTCATTTTCCACTGATAGGCTTCTTAATTTATCAGGAAAATACCAAAAAAAAAAAAAAAAGGCCTCAGGCTAATTGGGGAAAAAGCATGAAATATCTATGAAATATCCCGTCTAAGTGCATGTGATATAGCCTTTTCTTTGAAAAAGCAAATGCGTATTTTTAAAGGATTGAAGTAAAGGAGAGAAAGCATAAATATCTGTAATGTTTATATTTTTTTCTTCAAATAATTTAATCCTGATTCACAGTTGTATTGGTCATCTCAGAAAAACAAAAAAATATATAAACCGAGTAATGTGAAATGACAGAAATGTATTTTCTCATAGTTCTGGAGGCTGGAAGTCAGAGATCTGGGTGCCAGCATGATAGGATTCTGGTGAGGGCCATCTTCCTGCCTTGTTGAGGGCAGTCTTCCTGCTGTGTTCTCACATGGCAGAGAGAGACAGCAAGATCTCAGGTGTCTCTTCTTATAAGGGCACCAGTCCCGTATTGAGGGCTCTACCCTTCCCTCATGCACTTATCTAACCTTAATTATCTCTCAAAGTCTCCCAAAGGTCTCAACTCCAAATGCCAGCACAGTGAGAGTTAAGGCTTCAACATGTAAATTTGGAGGGATACAATTCAATTCATAGCATTAGTGGTTTTTTTGTTTTGTTTTGTTTTTACCTTTTTTTGGAGACAGCGTCTCATTCTGTCACCCAGACTGGAGTGCAATGGTACAATCATAGCTCACTGCAACCTTGAACTCTTGGGTTCAAACAGTCCTCCTGCCTCACCCTTCTGTGTAGCTGGGACTGCAGGCATGTGCCATCACACTCGGCTAATTTTTTCTTTTATTTTTTTGTAGAGATAGAGTCTTACTATGTTGCCCAGGCCAGCCTCGAACTCCTGACCTCAAACAGTCCTGCCTCAGCCCCACAAAGTGCTGGGATTAACAGGTGTGAGCCACCATGCCTGGCCTAGTGGTTTTGAAATGTGCTTCTTTCACTTCAATATGGCCATTTATTCATTCACTTTAGTAAACACTTATTGAGTTTCTGTTGTTTCCAGTGATTGTGTTGTGCCCTGAGAGAAAAAGCAGAGAGAGGCCTGAATTAGCACCTGCTTCCAATTATTCACAATCAACAATGGAGAAAGGGCTTACATTAAAACCAAAAAAAAAAAAAAAAAGGAAGAAAAATCGATGACAGTACAAGGTGATAAGTGCAAAGCAGAAGCATGAAAGGGAAGCAAAGACAGTGCCAAAGTAGAGGGTGCTTAATGATCTATCCCCATCAGGGAAGGTTTCCTGGAGGAAGAAAAATATGATCTGTGTGTTTTAAAAGATGAATTGCAATTGTTCCAGATACATAGAGGGTGTGAGTCTGTATGCATTACAGACTCAGGGAAAAGTATGTATAAAAGCACAAAAACATATCCTTAATTCTACTGATATTTATTTACTGATTCTACTGATATTTATTTACTGTCTGTTATGTTGGTACTGTATTCAGGCTCTGGTTTTTTTTTTTTTTTTTTTTTTTTTGAGACGGGAGTCTCGCCTGTCGCCCAGGCTGGAGTGCAGTGCGGCGGATCTCAGCTCACTGGCAAGCTCGCCTCCCGGTTCCGCCATTCTCCTGCTCAGCCTCCCGAGTAGCTGGGACTACAGGCGCCGCCACCGCGCCGGCTAGTTTTTTGTATTTTTTAGTAGAGACGGGGGTTCCCGTGTTAGCCAGGATGGTCTCGATCTCCTGACCTCGTGATCCGCCCGTCTCGGCCTCCCAAAGTGCTGGGATTACAGGCTTGAGCCACCGCGCCCGGCCCAGCTCTGGTTTTTAAAGCTGAATTCACAGTAACAGAAAGCTAATAAGTATATTAAACAGAATACTATAAATGATAATTTGGGCTAAAAGTTTTGTGTAAGACCAAACTGTTTTAATTGATACTTTTTATTATAAAAAGTGTTTACAGGGAAAAATCATTGGGTTATAACAAAAGTTCTTATAGGTTTGCTAAATATAGTATTATGAGGCAATATTGCGGGGGAAATATAGCTAACACAGGAAGTAAATTAATCCTCAGTTGCACCATGGGAGAACTGTGTAAAGCAATGATTCTCAACACTTGTTTCACGTAAGAATCATCTGAGTAAAGTAACTTTAGAAAATACTGATGCCAGAGCCCCACCTGTAGAGATTCTGAAAGAATTGATCTAGGGGGCAGGCAACTGGATTCATTATTTCGCTGTTGGGGATTCTATGAACAAAGATTCTAAAGTCTCTTGGTTTAAAGAGATTAAAATCATGAGTACATATTTTTAACTGATACATTGTTTCTAAAATTAAACCAGAGATTTTGTTATTTTAGTTACTGTTTTGTGATCATTTTTCATGATGCATTCTCTGCTGGTTTTTTTCAGTATTTTTTATGTACAAAATATCATGTGAAATACTGTCACGAATACATAGAGAAAGAAAATATCTCTGCTTTCCAGGGGCTCGCAGTTTAGTGAAGAAGACAAAGCTATACAAATGACTATCATAGAGGCAGTGTACCTTGATATAGAGAAAAAAGAAAGGGCAGTCCACTTCCTGGTGGGGCTCAATGAACTGATTTTTATGGCCAAAGAGCTATTTAATTCTGTTGTCAACAAAATGTGGCCTACATCTGTCTGCCCTTCCTCTAGTAGCGATACAGTATTTTATCTGAGCCTTTGAAATTTAATAACAAGGATTATTTACTTAACTCTTTCAATATTTAGATGTTAAAGAAGTATGTTTTTTAATACTGTGCCACCTTTGATGTCTGTTTGAATACTACTGCAAACAACTTCTGTTCATCCTGGTTTACAATCAGGCTAATCAAATCCCAAGTTCAGGAGTTGGCATGGTAGCTAGTCAGGCAGGGCTTCTTTCTGAAAATATGACAGCGATGAATGCTTGTCATCCATAAAACATGAGAAATTCAATACTCCATGTGTGGTTTTCTTCATTTTCGGTTCAGATGAATGATCAGAAAACCTGTGTTTTTTTCATAGGTCTTTTAAAGTGGTGTTTGAAAAAGATCTTTAAACCCACCATCAGAAAAGGGGAAGGTCTGTAATGGCTACTGGTATTGACCTTGTTACTATGGAAACACCATTTTAGTGGTTATGTTTTAAAAATAAAACACAATTCCATTTCCTTTTCCATAAGTCATAGGGCTATAAATTCTGCTTTTTGATATGATTTCAAATATCTCACAGTCCAATGACTTTCAGGTTTTTTGGAAATTATGTTCAGTTTTATTGTATTTTCTAACCTTTTGCTTTCTAAAAACTGAGGTGGCGAGGAAATTTAATTGCTTTTCAGAAAGTGTGCTAATATAAAAATGCAATAACAGTTCTCCCATTTTTTTAAACTTGAATCAGAGGCATTATCACTGCTAAAAAAAAAAAAAAAGCCTTCATTTAATGCCTTATTAATATTCAATTCTTTACATTCAGAATGGAAATTATAACATGCAGTCCAAATTTACAATTATTTTCCCCTCATATGACATCTTTCTTTTAGCATTTTAATCGTGTGGTATTCTAAACAAAATTCCAAAAAGCGAGTCCATACCTTAGGCATTTATACATATAAAATGTGTCTTCCACGAGGATCTCAATGCACATTAGTTTCCTTAACCCTTATACATTCAAACCCTGAATTCTGCAGTTTTATGCTACACATAAAGAAGAAGTAGAGGGGGTTAAGAAAAGGATTTTTAAAAATGGGTAAAGACAGAGGAAGGCTACCTATTTAAGGAAATAAATGATTCATTCTGACAAATATTAGCCACTGAACTTTTCTTTTAAGTGCACAGGTATGTGTGCAGATTTGTTATATAGGTAAATTTGTATCATGGAGGTATGTTGTATCGATTATTTCATCATCTAGGTATTAAGCATAGTACTCATTAGTTATCTTTCCTGATCTTCTTTCTCCCAACTTCCACCCTCTGATAGGTCCCAGTGTGTGTTGTTCCCCTCTCTGTGTCCA